TCCAAAATCTCCATGTTAAAAAAATCCTTTCACTTTTACTTTTAATAATTGAAGTAAATTTTACGGATACCATTTCTCAGTGTGGTATCCCAACTTAGCTGGGGCTTCATAATAATTCTTCCACTCGCTCTCATCTCCTTTTCATACAACCCCACTTAAAGGTTCAGTGTGTAATATTTAGTGAAATCTAGTGGTGAAGCTGCATGTTGCAACTGAATACCCCTCACCTCACCCTCCCCTTCCAAACATCATGGAGAACTTGCGGTAGTCTTCAGTTGTCATAAAAAACTCAAAGGACTATTCTAAAAAAAAAAACATGGTAGAGAGGAGGACCCACTCCCAATGTAAATATAAAGTACTTAAATATAAAAGGCTCAGTCTAGGGTACAGAAATAAACAATAGATCCCTTTCACCCAAATCTTACACACTGGACCTTTAAGTCTATTTGGATCCTCGCCAATGCAACAACCTCTCTCTCTTTCCTGAGTGGCACTGCGTTACCATGATGATTATTTTTGTTTGTTGTCTTTTTAAGGCAATGAAGCACGTACATAGATGAGAGAAAGAGATGAGCAGAATGAGCTTTGAGATGCTGAGATAATGTGTTTGGGAAATGTTTTCATATATGGACACTGTAATCTATTCTTCATCACATAACCAGAGAAACAACCATTATACTGTAAACATTTTAATGATGCTCAGAATCATTGTTCAATAAAAAATGTCACTGATTATTTACATATTTACAACAAGATCAGATTAACATTATATAAGATGGAAAAGCAAACATAGTGCATATTCAAATAATTCAACTGCTTTGCAATAACTCAGTGGTCTTTTCTCTTCTACAGTACAGTGTCATTGCATGAAGGTGGATCTGTGGCATGGCGGTGTTAGGTAATATGCTGGCTGTGCCCATTCTTTTCATCCAGGTAGGCCATGCTCGACTTTGTCCACTGATTGTTGGGGTCAGAGCAGATCCTTTTGCCTTTTATCGTCTTGAAGCTATTGAAAATCACATCACAGAAAACATCCAGTCAGTGACAAGTAACATTTCTTGAGAGAAGGTGATTGTTTCAAACGTTTTCAACCCTAACCCTGAAATAATGACATCTGTGGTTTATTCAGAAAGTCAATATTCTACATTTTACATTTTTTAAATATCTGAAGACAAACTATGCTCACAAATCCAACATTGGTTTGTTATGCTGACTTACACAACTATTCGTAGAAGACACGACGGCTGTTGTTGTACATAATAATTCTTCAGACGGTCTCGGTGGACTTCAGTGTTTAAAATTCGGCGACAACAACTTGCGATCCCACCTTTGGACATGACACACAAAATACATCATCATAATCAAACATTTAAAAGAACATTGCACCATGTTAGAAATAAATGCATCTAAAATACACATGGATAAAAGCATGCACATTGCCCTTACCTTGAGCTGAGGCTGTGGACACCATGGTAGTTACAAGTACAAGCAAGAGGAAGGTGAGACAAGTCATTGCATTTGTCAGGCTAAGAAAAGGTATGGTGTGTAGTTTGCTCTGCAAGTCCTTTAAACCCACCAGCGCTGTGTACACATCAGTTTATATCTCTTGGAACTGAAGTGTGCAGCACCCACAGACATGCACACGGCTGGAAAGTAGAGTACATGTTTCCCCCTGTAAGAGGTCCACACCCCTTTACTCGTAAGTAGTGGTCTGCGGGTGACAGTGCATTTTCCACTGTGGGGGGAATATGCTTTGCATATACCATAGTATTTACAATTCAAATAATAATGTGATAATTTCCTTTAACCTGTGACCGTCACTTGAAAATAACCTGTATGGTCAGTGAAAGTGTGATATTACTGTTTAACTCCATTTACTGTATTTTAAAGGAATGAGTGCATATTTAGTGAACTTTGCTTCACATACCAGTTTTGTCAGTAAAGCAGCCAGTTAATTACTTATAGTATAAACTGTTGTGTCCACTGTTAACTTGTACAACTCAAATTAATCTTCAAACAAGACTCACATACAAATGGGGAATCTTTTATGCAAGACATTTGCAGGTGTGCAAATTTGAGGTTACACACACAAACAAATGCTCTACATAAACTGCTGCACTAACCACATGGTTTTTGTTCACCATCTGAGAGGAAGAGCAGGCTGCAGAGACATTTCAACATGTAGAAAGTTTGTGTTGAAGTGCCCCAGTTCCTTAGTTGTGGCTTCCTAGTTGTGCAGTTAACCTTCTTGAGAGTTCCATTAAGTTAGATAGGAGTTATATTAGCAAATGCAACCAGTGGAGTCTAGCAATGACCGTGTTGACCTTTCGGACAAAAAGGCTTGAGCAACAAAATCCTCCAGTTGTGTACATAGGTTTGTCATACTGCTCTGCCTTGGCATAGATATATGCTCTACTGAGTGCCACTAGTTTGTATAGGTTATGAGTAACTTTCTTTGAAGGCAAATACACATTGACTGATGTTATTTTGAGGAATGGAGCAGGAGATGAGAAGAGACTTGTATACAAACTGGGATTTTGTAATGGCAAACATTGTGTTAATTGTTTCATTTGTTTAAAAGTGAGCCATGTGATATTATGTTGGTTTCATTAAACTGTACTGTTTGCTCCTTATTGAAGCTCTAGTCATGTAGTTTCATCAGCCTCCCACAAAGAGAGGGTGGCTGGTTGTTTGAATGAATCTCTCTTATTCAAATGAATGGTAAATGGGCTGCATTTATAGCACTCTTCTCCTCTTCATGAACACTCAAAGGGCTTCAAGTACATTTGACATTTACATACATTCACACAGCGATGCTATATTTATCACTCTGACTATCACTCATGAATTCCATTCACACATTGGCCATCAAGGGCAATTTGGGGTTCACAGGGTGGATTATCACACACAAGAACCAAACCTGTAGCAAAACTAAATATTGAAATTACATTACATAGAGAAACGCTGAGTAAAATTAATCAGGGATTGACTCTCCTGTAGTCACCATGTCTCTGCTGAAGTTATCTTATAGCCATCACTGATAAAACAGTTGCATTTAAAACTGACAGTGTAAGTGGAATTTTTTAGATGATCCATTATGTTTAATTGACTCTAACCTGTCCCATGTCAATGACAGCCCATTCCTATGAGTCAGGATTAAATCACTGATATCCTTTAGTTGAGTGCTGAGGTAAGATTGTTCTTCTAAGTCAAGTGGTATATTTTTCATTTTTGCAGTAAGTCAGAGCCATTTAAGATCGTGATATAAGAGATGATGGTGCAGTGGAGCAAACTGACTTGACTCAAAAAAGAAAAATCTAAATTTATGAATGAGGCACATTTCGGTATAAATGTCACAGATCGGAAAGTGTAAACTGAAGATTTGATTGAGTTGATCTGTAGAGACAGGGACAGAAATCTCCTGACTGTTCACCCTATTTTAAATAAGACATTATACAGATTATGATGTTTACATGAGTTGCTAATTGTATACTCCGTTCATATCCCATTTACATAAAGAGCATAGTCTGATTTATGTCTCATGTCAAAACCAAATGCTGCTTACATGGTAGTGTCTTATTAATGTTCTATCTTAATATCAGAATTGCGCTGTCTACTGAGTGAAGTTTGAAACAAGAAGTTAATAGCAGAGACGTTGTTGTGCTTGACAAAGTAACGTAAAACCAGTTGATGGGGAATCAGAGTCCATGGATTTTGGCAATGTTAGCTTCATAATCCTATGATAGTGAAGCTGATCACACTGGGTGCACTTCCTTCCTCATTTTGAGTTGTCATTTCTGCTTTTCACTGACAAGGAATTTCAATGTTCCATTCAGAAAAGAAAAGAATAAGCAAAACTTGTAAAGTCTTGTCTGTGTAATTCAATGCATGAATACAGATTATATTACAATGTAGTCTTCCAGTTTTTTGTTACACTGAATCAATGCTGTACTAGTTTTTTACG